ATTCTCTAAACCAGCAGCAGGCAGAACTCTTCAACTCAGGTCTTTGACTTCCAAGCACAATGCTCCTTTGACCTTTACTCTGTTCTTTCTGCTTGATAACCTGTTCCACTCACACAAACTGATTTGGCTATACCTACAAGGCACATTTCCAATAAAGAAAGGCCTCAAGGGATGAGAAAAATCTCTACCCATAGCGCCCTATTCATATGCCTCTTTTGCCCACTTACCATCATCTTCCTACTCCTTGGTTCCTATAGGCAAAAATGAGCTAGTGACTTAGGTCTCACTGGATGCAAGTTGCCATTCTGGTCAAGAAAAGGGAGAAGCAGTAGGTCCCCTAAGGAATCATACTCTTGGGGCCAGCACTGTGGCATAGTGGTAAAGCTACTGCCTGCAGTGCTGGCATCCCATATGGGTGCCAGTTCGAGTCCTGGCTGCTCCACTTCCAATGCAGCTCTTTGCCATGGCCTGGGAAAGCAGTAGAAGATGGCTCAAGTCCTTGGGCCCCTGCACCCATATGGGAAGACACAGAGGAGGCTCCTGGCTCCTGGCTTCAGATCGGCGCAGCTTCAGCCGTTGTGGCCAACTAGGGAGCAAACCAGCGGATGGAAGACTTCTCTTTCTCTCTGCCTCTCCTTCTCTCTCTGTGTAACTCTGACTTTCAAATAAATAAATAAATCTTTTAAAAAAAAAGGATTGATACTTTAAACTAATCAGTTCAGCCCACCATGCTCAGTGACTGTTATCCTCAGTGGTAGAATCTGGTTTCTTGCTTAAAGCCTTGGCCTCCTTTGTTTCAGCTCTGTCCTCTGGGGGAAATGGAAATGTCTCTGAAAAACAATGGTATGCATATGTATTTGGACCAGGGACTGTTAGACTCCATCATTGGATGGATTTCTGAAAGCAGTGGCACACATGAGGCCTAAGGCCTCGGACCTTCGTCCCATGGTTCATATCCTAGCTTTCCAAGTCTTTCAAAAAATGATTAACCTTCTGTCAAGTTGAGGGTCCAGGTCCATTCTGGGAACAGAGCTAAATCAGGAAATATTAATTTGCTCATTCAGTATAAAGCATTCTAAATGAAGGCTCTCTCAAAAAGACCCACTTCTGAAAACTAGGCACATCTGAATATTATTTCCTCTAGTGACCCTCTAAAAAGCAAGGCAAGGTCCCTAGAAACACACCCCTCAAGATGGCTGACACTCTCAGCACTTGTCTACCCAGCTCAAGGATGTGGCTGTTGCTAAATGCTAGACAGTCATTTTTGTTTGGGGCCTATTAAATACTGTCAGTAAAATATCAAAAGCACTAATAATAATAAGCCATGTGGAAAAAAGATAAAAGAGGTTTTTTACCCTGACTCATAATGAAAACCATACTGACAGAAAAAGCAAAATGATTATGATTATTTTCTTAGACTTTGTATTCTCCAAAGAGAACTCATCTCCAGGCAACCATGTCATCAGGCCACCAAGGAAGTATATACATGATACTAAGGAAGTCTAAGCTTATACCCCAATAAACCCAGGGATTGTCTACACAAAGTTAAACTGGCCCCAGGTCCCAAATAAAAACCTTCAATTCAGGCAGCCAATCAAGTCACAAATTCATGCTATGCGTCAACAAGGGGACACTAGTAGGAAAGCTTTACCACAAAGGGAACAAATCAGAGTACCTCCCATTGGTACTAACTCTTAAATATCATCTTCCTAGTGCAAAAGGTAACATGTCTCAATAAACTGGCTTACACTACATCATTAAGGACTAGCAGCTGGAAACAAAAAAGCAATTAGGGTTTTGCTGACAGATGCTGGCCAGATTTTTTAAATCCAGGATAACTTAGCCACAGTTCTTCTTGGAGGACCCTCAAAGTTGCTTTCAACTTGAAGACTCTATAAGAGACCCAACAGGGTGACCTGTGCTACATGAATTTGAAGAAACTCTCTGGGTCACAAAACAGCTGGATTTAAGGTTCTCTCAGTCTTATTTACATGTATGCTCACTTGATCCTTATAACGAGTATGCGATCCCAATTTTCCAGATAAGGAAAGCAAAGCTCAAGGAAGGAGCTCCTGGCTCCTGGCTTTGGCATGGCCCAGCCCCAGCCATTGTGACCATTTGGGAAGTGAACCAGTGGATGAAAGATCTCTCTGTTTGCCTTGCAAATAAATAATTGGATCTTTAAAAAAAAATGAGGCTTTCCAGTTCTAAGTCTAGTGTTTCATGCAGGTAAAAAGCTTTTCTCAGGTGTCTGTTTTCACTATATAAACAAAAGCAATCAATATTCTGAACAGAAGAAGTTGGATTTCTGCAACATCTGGTCTGTGCAAAGGCAATGAGCTGCTTAGAATATGCTTTCCTCTTCCTAACTTCAGGCAAGCCAGAATCTACAGAAATCTATAATTTAGAGAAACAAGGAAAGTATATATCCAGCTCCTGATGGCATTTTAACTTTCTGACAAAATCCACAACCTCATCACACAGGCCTCATCTCTCATTAATAACAGGTTGCCATGTGTCCTGCTCTCAAATAGCCAGCATGTTCTCTCCAGACCACAACCCAAAGTAAAGACAAAGACTCCTTTTGCATAGTGACAAAGGAAAAGCACCTGACTGCCTTAGGACCCAGAAGGCAACCAGAGGCCTACCACAGAGGTGGGATTTACTAAGACACACAGCAGTCTGCCCTCAGCTCTCAGGAGGAAACCAGCCCAAGAAAGCCACAGAAGGTATAAACAGCTTGATATGCAAATTGATATTCTATGAGCTTTAATTCATTCAAACTGACAAGTTTCTGAGAAGGAACATCAACTCCTGCATCGCTTTTGTAAAGTCATGTCCCTCGAACTATTTCAAAATTAGTAAAATAATTTTATTGTGATAATATATGGTAAATTTGGATATAATGGGCTAATTAAAATACACATGAAAATTAATTTTACATGTATCTTTTCACTTTTTGGCATAGCGAATAGAAAAATTTTAATTATATGTGTGGATTAAATTAAGGAGCATTAATGCCCACTCACTGATAATCTGAAACCTGGCTCTGCTATTTGTCTTCCTAACTTGTTTAATCATTTTCTCCCTTCTTTTGATTTACTCTTTATTATAAAAGTGACATTTCCCTGAAACTTAAATGCAAATGAAATTGTAAGACACTGTTTCTGGGTGTGGGCTAATTCTTCTGTTTAAAGAGAAGCCTGCCAGCATAAGAGACATAAGTTGTATGTTCACAGGCCCTCATGCTAGACCTGAAGGTCTGTGGTTCCTGATGTGCCCATGGGACTGATTTATCAATCAGCAAAGTTGAGCAAGGACACAGGTGGCATTTAAAGATAGAAGTTGCTTCATAAGCATAGAAGAAACGATTGGATATTTCATCATAAGACTCTCTGGACAGAAGAGGAGGAGAGGTCATTTTGTCCACTCTCCTGCTTCTGAGAAGTAACCTCATCTAAAATGTCCCAATTAAATAACAGTGCTTTCTGGGTTTGCAGCTCTACAAGGATGGAGGACTAGTTTAACTCCTAGGGTCAGCCTTGATATATGAACCTTCTTGGAGCTAATAAGGTGGTAGTGATACTTATGGTGATGATGACAATAATAAGTTACCATTTGCCAAGTACCTTTTATGTGTGAGCAATGTGCTAGACACTTTACTTACATATGTGATCATTCAATCCTCATAATTAGTATGTGATCTCAATTTTTCCAGATAAGGAAATCAAAGTTCAGGGAAGGTAAAAATCTTGCAAATGTCAGAGTTAGGAGGTAGAAAAGCTGCACCTCAGGTTATCTGACTCCACATATCCTGCTCCTTCCTTCATATCACACTACCATAATTCCAGTCTTGAGGCCCTTTAATCTCTAAGAGCCCAACCCCACTTCAGTCTTATTTTACAGGAGAAACTAATAAAAAGTGGTACATTGTGATAAGGTGGTAAAGCCACCTTTTTGTGGCTTTGCTATTTGTCTTACCACAAAGCAGTGTTCACATGTTTTATTTTATTCGCTGTGGTATCCCCTAACATTTAAGAATTATCAACACAACTTTGCAGATGGGGAAAACCAGAACTCAAATGATTGATTCCAGCTTGCCTTCTGAAGGAAGGCCAAGAGTTGGGACATTCTGGCCAATGATCTTCTCCCATAGCATCCTGCTAACTGGTGATCCCAAGGAAACAGAAATGCCTGGAAATGACCTCCCAAAAGTACCTCTGCAAAGGGCCAGTTTCACCATGGTAAATGTCAAACAGGCCAAGGCCTTGTAAGCCCTTGCAGGCTGCCTGCTTCCCATCCCTAACACATCTTAGATCCCAGCTACTTTGCTGTCCTGTAAAAAGTTCAATCAGTAAGCTCTAGTCCCTGTGTGGCAGGGAGCCCACACTCTTACATTAACAGTTGAATACAGCGTTGCGACAATTCACAGAGGGTGTTTACACTTCCCTAAATGAGAGAAATGAGGCAAAGGAAGCAGAGAGGAAGGACAGGGGTAGAGGAGAGGGGAGGAGACAAAGATCAGGGGAGAGCAGAAGCATAGATGGGAAAGACTTAAACGAAGAAAGGATAAACATGACAGGACAGTGAAAAAAGATAAGAGATATAAGAAAGGCAAAATTTCACAGCAATGTACAGTTAAAAGTTCTTCAAAAACCATCAAGGCCAACTCCAGAAAGGGAAACTAAGGCCCAGATAAGAAAAATGATTTATACAAAGGTGGGAGTTTGGGAGGGTGGTGGTTATTAAAATAAACAAGAGACAAAGGGGAAAAAAAGCTAAAAATGAGGACAGCAAAGGAAGCTCAGGTCCCGGTAAGGAAAAGGAAAAGAAAAAGAAAAGCAGGAAGGGAAGGAAAAGAAAGCAGAAAGAATGGAAGAGTGGAAGAAAGTAAAAATATAAAGTTACTAAGAGAAATAAGAAGAAGAGAGGCTGGTAGAGGGAAAGCCAGGGGTGGGCAGCTAAAGAGATAGAAGAGGAGAGTGAAGGCTGACACTCACCCTCACAAAGCTGGCAGGAAACCATCCCTCCTCATCGTCGATCTGGCCCCACCACCAATCCTTGTTGGAAGCATCCAAGACTTTGATGACGTCGCCAGCCTTAAATGCCAACTCCCGGTTGGCCATGGTGACGTGATCCCATACTGCCTCAGCACTAACGATGGAATCTCCAGTGATCAGCTTAGGAGACAAAATGAGAATGTGTTCAGTCCACACAGCTGGCTACCTCATTTGCCCCTTCCCCCACCCACAGGGTTCCACTACTCATGGAAAAACTGACATACTCTAGTGGTGAGGGGTGAGGGTGAAGGGCATGGCACTGGAGCACAAGCTCTGTTGGACCACAAGACAAACAGTATTGTGAACTCTCCATTAGCCACGGAATGATACAGAGTGAATATGGACTACACAGGCCTCATTCTTTTATTCCTACTCCTGAATTTCTCCCCCAGAGAAGAAAGGAAGCTTCCATCTCTCTAGTGTTTCAAGGCAGCCCTGGATCTGGAATGGGAGAGGCTGAAATCAATGGCTAAAATGAGGCTCAAACTTTTTTGCTTTCAGTTCTTGTGCTCCTCTCCCTTTCCTCCTCCTCCTCCTCCTCCTTGGAACTGTCCAACTGAGGGCGGGTAGTACATTATTTAACCTTGCTGTACCCCTTCCCTGGGATAATAGACCATGACATTCCTCACACACAATGGACCCCAGTCCTGCAGCCTCCCTTTCTCACCCACACATGATGTCATCCAGAGAGGCCATGGGTATGAAAGAATATGATTTTCTATGATGCCTTGTGCCCAAGAAACTCAGCTTTGGCACAGATTCATTCAGTTATTTGTACAACCACCCTGTGAGATACAGAAAGGTCTGGATTGACTTCTGGATTTTACAAATAGCAAAACTGAGCAAAAAATAATCAAAGGATGAGTCTAGGATTATCTGTCAAAGCAGGGCTGTGCATGGTCACGATGGTTGTTAGACTTCATGGTCAGCAGGACTGGGTTCCACACAACATCAGGCAGATGAGTGTAAACACATGCATGCACATGCATACGCACGCACACACACACATTCACGACACTCATCTAACCACAGTGATAAGGATGGGGGAGGGGCAATAGTTTGTGTTATTTCTTGTTTCCTCACAACCGTTCCAGTTTGCTTGGGCCATAAGTCTTCCTAGAATTTGGGAAAATAGATTCCAGAATAGTGAACATATGGCCTGTAAGGCAAAAAGACTAAGTACTCTCTTCTTAGCACTGAATTGCTGAACATGTCCTCTAGAAGTAAGCTTTTTCCATTACCCTGCTTTGAGGAAGGACTGACCACCCAAGGCCATCATAGTTCTACAAGAGCAGACAAGAGAGACAGCGTATGGAGCATGCATCTTTTACCATAGGTCTATCCTATGGCCATTATCCAGACAATAACACTATGCTCACAAAATGAATGCACAAGCCAAGATATACATATAGACACACATATAAACACCCTGATCTTTTCACTTAGTTAAGGTCATACATCATTGCTCAGGATTCTAGTCTTCATGCCTTCTATAGAAGGGAAGGCACAGGAAAAACACCTTACCATGGACGCAAAAGAGATTGCTAGGACCTTTCACAATACCACCTTTCAAGTATTTCATGCATTACTATCTGTGCAGTGTTTTCACAGTTAGTACAACATTCAATCCTTACTGAATGAGCTGTGTCTCACTGTTATCCATATTTTAAAGATGAGGAAATTGAGTCTCAAAGAAGTGGCATGGTCCTTCAGCCAGTAACACAAGTAATAAATTATGAAATCAAGTTTTCTGATCTCATGTGCTCTTACACAAATCAAATCATGATACTAATGTCTACTCATCAGCTATACTGAACTTACCAAACTTTATCCTTAACAGCAAAAACCAGATGGATCTTATTCTTAAAAACCCCTAAAGAAGGAGATTTAGACATATATCTTTAGTCATAGGTAACCCTGCCTCTGAAAAGCCTCATTTTTATGTTGCATTTGCTTCCTTCCAATTGTACTAAATCAGCTTCTCCTTGGCCTCAGCAGAAGAGGAGAATCACTGGTCACTGGTCTCAATAAAATAAATCTCCTGCCAAAGTTGAGCTCTAAATTTGTGTTGCTAGAGTTCAATGAGCACATACAGCCCCAACCCAGAGTACCATGAGGGCTTGTGGTTTAAATCTGTAACCTTCTTTTTAGGAACTATATGTTTGCATTATCCCAGTAGCAAATACCACACTTTGACCTTATTTTGTCCTGCTGACATGCCTGGGCCCTTAGATCACACAGTATAACTTTATCCTGGATAAGGCCAATTCAGGACCCAACCAAATCAACAAACCAACTGGCAAGCATGTTGTCAGGGTCTACTTAAATTCACTGACTGTCAGAAATGGATAGCACTTCAAGGATTATAACCCCATAAAACCTTCATTTTACAGTTCAGGCATTGTATAACAGGAGTTATCCATAGTCACCAGACGGCCAGCCTCCTAGACTAGTATTCCCCCCTCCCTGTATTTAACAATATAGAGGGGGGAGACAGAAAAAGAATACCTGGATTTAGGATCTCACTCTACTACTTGCTAAAGGTATAATGGTAATTATGATGATGCTAGCTAATATGGGCAACTCATTATGTGTCAGGCACTATTCTGAATACTTTATATACATTAACCTATCTAAGCCTCACAAAAGCTCTCTATCATGCATATGAGGAAACTGAAGCTCAGAGAGGTTAAATAAGTTACTGAAGTTCACACAGCCAATAGCTACAAATGCAATTCAAATGCAGCCACAATGGGCTCTAGAGACTCTGATCTTAACTTACAAAGTATGATGCCTCTAGGTCTAAATTTGTTCAGCTACAAACTAGGAACTAACTTCCACTTGTTTCATAAGTTGTAAAACACTGAACTAAAAGTTGATGCAGAGGTTAGAGGAGGACTATGCCAGAAGGGGCTAGAAGTTGTATAAAGCTCCTGTGCTCTCCCATCATAAATACAAGCAGAACAAAGGGAAACTCCTCTTCATTCTCTCAGTTGTTTTGAAAAAGAAAAGTAAACTGTTCTCAAATTTCCTTTTGTATTCAGAATTGACATTTAACTTGCTATAATTTTTTTTTCATACACATGTACTTCGTTCACCCATTTTCTTTCCATGTTCATTCAGGGAGCTCCTACTACATACACTGTGGTTGAGCTACAGCCCTCCCAAAGATCAAAGTTTCTAATGAAATAGAAAAACATCATTCCTCTGGACACCAATAGCACATGCCCTTCAGGTAATATGCCAAAGTGGTTAAGGGCAGGCAAGCCAAGCTTGAAGTCTGGGCTTTGCTACTTGAAAGGTAGCAGCGATGACAGGAGGTGAGGAATAGAAGCCTCAGAGAGACAAACTGAAATGGAGCTCTCAGCATGTAATCAGAATACTGAGGAGTGCAGTCTCACAAAAGCCAAAGACAACAGTTTCAAAGTATAAAACCTTGGACCTGTTTTTTCATCTGCAAAATGGAGATAATGAGGTTTGCCTCACAGACAGGGTCACAGAAAAGGTGAATTGAGATGTTGGATATGTAGTACCTAGGATAGTACCTGTCATGTGCTGATTTAGTACAAAATGTCAGAGGAAGGAAAGATTACATTTGGCCATTGGGATCTAGGATCTAGAAAGTTTTTTGGGGACACTAAGGACAGGCCTTAAAGAATACATGTAATTGTAACAAAGATTGTTACAAGGGGTTGGCATTTGAGGCAGAGGAATGAGATAAAACAAAATCTGAGAGAAGACTGTAGGGAATGTCAATGGTCAAAAAGCAATGAAGTTTGAAGAGGGTAGGGTTGAGAAATGGGAGTAGAGGGGGAAATGGTTGCAAAGGTGGGTCAGAGTCATGTTTAAAAGGTCTTGAATCTCATTTGAGGGAAAGAAGGAAGTAAAAGTTGATTTTGGGGGGGAGGGGTGTAGATCCTCCCCCAAAATCATTAAAGCATAAGCATAGATTATAAGGGAATACTGGCTTTGAAGGAGAATAAAGGGTAACACATTTGCTCTTTAAGATGTTAAGTATGGGGGCATAGCAGGTAAAGCTATTGCCTGCAGTGCCAGCATGCCCTACAGGTGCTGGTTTGAATCCTGGCTGCTCCACTTCTGATCCAGCTCTCTGCTATGGCCTGGGAAAGCAGTAGAAGATGGCCCAAGACCTTGAGCCCCTGCACCTGCATGGGAAACCTGGAAGAAGCTCCTGTCTCCTGGCTTCAGATCAGCGAAGCTCTGGTCACTGTGGCAAATTGGGGAGTAAACGAGTGGATGGAAGACCTCTCTCTCTCCCTCTCTCTCTCTCTCTCTCTCTGTCTCTCCTTCTCTCTCTGTGTAACCTGACTTTCAAATAAATGAATAAATCTTTAAACAAAAAGTATGGGGGGTCAGCAGGACATGGAAGAAGGTTTGGTACTCAAGAGAAATCAGGGAATATAAATACTGAAGGTTTGGGAGTCAAAGACCCAACAGAAATTGTAGAAACCAAGGAAGTTTGCCCGGGAAGAAAGTGCTAAGAAAAAAACTGAGAAACCCTGGGAAATAGCAACAATGTGAGGTCAGGAATAGAAAAATCACAGAAACAAACCTAAATGGAGCTGTCAGCATATCATCAGATATCAAGGATTTTGATCTCACAAAAGCCAAGGACAAGAGCATCAGGCAGCAGGAGCTGATCAACATTATCAAAAGGAGCTTCAGAAAGAAAGCCAAGAGGGTCTGCACTGTGCTTCAGTGGGTTAGGCAGCCGTCTGCAGCACTGGCATACCATATGGGTGGCAGTTCCAGTCCTGGCTGCTCCACTTCTGATCCAGCTCCCTGTTAACGTGCCTGGGAAAGCAGAGGAGGATGGCCCAAGTACTTGAGCCCCTGCACCCAGCTAGGAGACCCTGAGGAAGCTCCAGAGGCCTGGCTTTGGTCTGGCCCAGCTCTGGCTGTTGTGGCCATTTGGGGAGTGAATCAGCGGATGTAAGATCTATCTCTCCCTCTCTCTTTAACTCTGTCTTTCAAATAAATATAAATCTTATGAAGGAAGGAAGGAAGGAAGGAAGGAAGGAAGGAAGGAAGGAAGGAAGGGAGGAAGGGAGGGAGGAAGGGAGGAAGGACCATTTGTGAGTGGCTAGATCAAGGACTAA